AACTAGAAAGTGTAGGACCATTGATTGTTGGGACAAATAATAGCCAACTAGAGATGATATAGAAAGAATAAAGGCAGGTCATCTTCAAATGTGATTTTATATTTTCTATTAAGAATACTGTTTCAAACTGGAAAAACTAGAATAAACACAGACAAAGGAATTGAAATTCCCAAGTCTGTGAGGAGATAGTTAAATTAAATGAGATCATTTCTATGGTCCTAATGAATCTCAATTCAGAGTACTTGCATACACACACACACACACCCTAATCAACTAAAGTCTGCTCTGAGTAAACTCTGTAGTCCTTGCAGATCAACAAGAAATTTCACAACAGGGAAGACTGATCAGATGGAGAAATCATGATTGCTCATAACTTGGGAAACCAGCAATATTAGCAGTAAGTTGGTTGGGGGTGAGCGGAGAGCAATAGGCCTGCCAAGCACACATCAGTAGAGTTTCATTTTTAAGTCAGTTTCTAGGTCAGTGAACATTTCTTGGATGTCAGTCACAATTTCAATTTTTTTTAGGGTTTCAAATAGAAGTATCACTATAAATAAAGCCAATGACATTTGGCCCTTAGGAATAAAATTTTGTCCCCAATCTCAAATATCTCACAATTTGTGAAGGCAAAAAAATAAAAATAAAATAAGTGTTTATAATACAGAGAGATATACAATATATAAATGACACCTTCATAAAATATTTCAAGCTCATCTTTTAAATCTTCTGTACATAGTGGGGAGACACTAAATTATTTTAAGTACAGATGTATTTAGAAAGAAAACTGGAGCTATTATGAAAATGATGACTAAATTTCACTTTCAGTTTATCCTATAAGACAATTTTTTAAGCAAGTTTCCACAGAGGCTTCAGAGGACTTCAGCAAAATTTGGGTTCACTTGTTCTTTTAAAATACAAAGTCAACTATTGATTATTCTTGACTAGATTATAAATTAACTGGGATTAAGAACTAAACTCATCCCATAGACAACTGGATTCTATTCTCTCATTATGTAGGTTTTTCCCTTGTATTGTGTAACCCCCAAATCAATATCTATAAGTCCAGAGCTCTCCTAAAATCTGGATCCATACATACAACTTTAGCTGAACATTTCTACTTGGAACACTCATTGATCTCCAAAACCCAAGATTTTCCAAACTGAAGTTACTATCCTCTTTAAAAACTAGTACCTTCTTATAAGTTTCTTTTTTTTTTAAATATTTTATTTATTTATTTGAGAGAGAGAGAATGAGAGATAGCACGAGAGGGAAGAGGGTCAGAGGGAGAAGCAGACTCCCCGCTGAGCAGGGAGCCTGATGTGGGACTTGATCCCGGGACTCCAGGATCATGACCTGAGCCGAAGGCAGACGCTTAACCAACTGAGCCACCCAGGCGCCCTTCTTATAAGTTTCTTATTCTTGAAAAATGAATAGTACTGCTATCTACTCTGGCTAGAAACAAGACTTAGTTTGAGATCTGTCTCTGTTGTTCCCTCCAGATGACTGGGTGTCAGCCCTCTACAAGTTTTTATTAACTATTTGTTGTTGTTTTAGGCACAGGGGATATTTTTAATGTCAATTATTTGTATGGATCATAATATACCTTTAGCAGACATCATTTTTACGTAATGCAACCATTTTCTATAAATAGTTCACTTTTAGGAAGGAAATGATTTTATTCTTTTCCATTCAATCAAATATGTCATTATAATACATGTGTCCTGCATGCCAGTAGAAGTTTGAGAGCATCTGCTCTATCTATGCACACAACAGGGGGTAGAACTCAAATGAAAAAGTGAATTCATAGCATGCTGTGTCATGATATTATTAAACTAATTTTAGTGACTCATTGTACTCTTTTAAAAATATATTATTAAATAAAATTGTGCATAAAAAAGTTATACTTAAATGATCATTATTATCAGCTTTATATAATAGGTGTTCTCTTTAGGTATCATGTACAAAGAAGTTTCTTTGCTTTAAAATGTAAAGGAAAAAATTCATTCTGAATTGCTTAAATAACTTTTTAACAAATGCATCAAAGTAATTATGACATTTTAAATGCTACTGATGAAATCCTGTTCCATGCTACAACATGAAACTTGAAGGATATTATGCTAAGTGAAATAAGCCAGTCACAAAAAGACAAATACTGCATGACTCCACTTAAAGGAGTTACCTAAAGTAGCCAAATGCTTAGAAACAGAAAGTAGAATGGTGGTTTCCAGAGGTGAGGGAGAGGGAGAAAGGGGCATGGGTTTAGAGCTTGCTTTGCAAGATAAAAATGTTTGAGATCTGTTGCACAACAAAGTGCATATAGCTATGCCACCATACTCTACACTTAAAAGTGGTTAGGATGATAAATTTTGTATGATGTATTTTTTTACTACAACAAAATAAGAAACAATTAGAAAATAAAACATAAAAAAGGGGGGCCTTCAGAAAGTGGCAGTTCGAGAGCCCCCTCTTCCCCCCAGTGCATGCGCCGGTGGGAGGTTCCAGCATAGGGTACCGGTGGAGCGCAAGGCAGAATGCCCAGGTGAAGCTTGGAAAACCAGTCGGCTCAAACCAGACAACTGCAAGATACTGTCACAAATGTGCAGCATTGTGGAGAGCGGTGCCAAATCCTCTCTGCCTACGAGACGGAACGGACCTACTGGTGAACGAAATGAACGTGTACGCCTCTACAGAGTTCCCACATTTAAAGCAGGGCCCGAAAAGTGTGATGAGTTTGCCAAACTGCAGGATTATCAACAAGAAGAGATTGAAAAATTTGAAGAAGTGGTTGAACCTTTTAAAGCTTATGGAGCCGTTGTGAAAAATGAAAGGAGATGACCTTGAGCGACATTGACAGCAAGGAATAGAGAAGCTAAACAGTTAACTCAGGAAAAACTCGTCAGCGAAACCCTGATGTTCGACATTTTGTTTCCCAGGCAGAAACCGAATTGCAGAGAGTTGCAATGGTTGCTACCTGAACAACTCGTCTTCTGGAGGAAAATACTGACAATTTTGAAAAGCAGAAAATAAAGGATATTAAGGCCATATTTTCAGAATTTATCATTATCAAAATGTTATTTCTTGGCAAAGCATTAAAGTTCTACTCTGCTGCCTACCAAAACATACAAAAGATTGATGAAGATTTAAAGGTTTTCCAAAATTCTCTGTATCCACCAGATTCTTCATCTGGTTTAGATAGCGTAGAAGCAAATTCAAAATGGCCCCTTCCAAGATCACTGTCAGCTAAATGTGTATCTGGAACAGGACAGTTACCCACCTGGCCACTAAGAAAGGATCAACAAGCAGAAGATGATGAAGAGGACAAAGATTTAGACGTTACAGAAGAGGAAAATTAATTTTCTTCCATAAACTTCACGTTTCCATTTGCATCTTAAATGACTTGGCATGCAGAATTACTGAATTGTTAAACTTTATACTGGCTTCATACACGTTAAACCTCAAAATGAAATCCTACTGGAAATGGAAATTAAAGGAAATCTATGCTCGCTGGAAACAAAGGTTTTAAAAAATATTACGCACCAATCATTTCTTTTCTTATAGGTTTTTATTTATTTATTTGTCACAGAGAGAGAGGGAGAGAGAGAGCGTGAATGGTAAGTAGAGAGAGAAGAGGCAGAGAGACTCGATCCCAGGACCCTGAAATCATGACCTGAGCCGAAGGCAGACGAGTAACCGACTGAGCCACCCAGACATCCCACACACCAATCTTTTCAACACCCAATCTAGCAGTACGTGGTTTTTGTATAGGTTCCATTTTTTAAAAAAAAGATGATGTGCTTCAAAAGTATTTCGTATCAACACACCATACCTAGTTAAAGTTGCAATAAAAGTAGATGACAGAAAACAAGGAATCTAACAATTCCACTTGCATCTTTTGTGCTCATCACCAAGAAAGGATCTTTAGTCATTCTGATGAGATACAAACCATATTCCGAAAAGCCTTAATCAAAAAAACAAGGTTTTTTCCCCTTTACCTTTGTTTTCCTCACTTTCACTACAACTTGAAGTTTCATTATTTGATACGTAATTTACTTTTCAACAAGACTGCAATTACTTTTGATTAAAGGTAATGAGACACTGGGATATCAGTGTCTTAAAAGCACTATGACGCATAAATATTAACTTCAAAAAGAAAGGCACATTCAGCCTGATTTGGGTTTTAAAATGAAAATACTCTCAGACTAAAGCATTATACACAGAACTACAACTTTAGGAAAGCTGTAATTTGGTGGGATGTTGCCTAAGAAAACATCATGGAAACCCGTAAATCATTAAAAGTCAATAAAAATTCTACCAAACCACCATCTAATTAATGCTACAGTATGTAGTTTTATTCTTGAAAATAATCAATTTAATCAGAACCTTTCAGTATGTCAAATGCTTTTGTGTCTTTGGATGGGGATTATACTCTTGTCATTTCATGGATACGAGTTAGACATATAAAATTATGAAATTTATAAAATCATTTGGGATAACCACAAAAAGCAGTTATTCATGACAGAAAAATACTTTCTAGGAAAAAATTTAATAAAAATGACTTTTGAAGAAGTTTCAATACACCATTCATGGGCTTGTTAAAGTTATTGAAGATAAATAACAAGGTCAGAAAATATATGTTTACAGTTTGATTTAAATGTATCCTAATCTTCCAAAAAGTACAGAAAAATATCTGTACCATAATAAGATGTGGGTTAGTTTAGAATTCATAGTTATTAAGTCTTATTCATTCTTAAAATAAGCAAACTAATGCCAAAATAATGGGCTCTTTCAGTTTGTGCAAAACCACTTAGTTGCTTTAAATTGTTGTTTAATATAAAGTTATGTTTAATACCAATATTGATTTGAGAATATTAGCTTGATTTATTGTTTCAAATAGTATTACATGGTTTTTATTCTTTGGCCATTATGTCACCGAGTTAGAAATTTATTTCAGAAGATAGCCTAATTGTGGCTCCTCTAGTTTAAAAACTCTTTTATAAAAGATTACCATCTGCATATTATTGAATGAAATATTTATGAGTCCAGAGACAATATCACTCATAATACAATTTTTCCTAAAATTATGTTTTCAGTAATATGTGTTAAATTTCTTAATGTTCCTGCATCTTCAACATGATTTTTCTATTGATTCATTTCAGTCTCATATGATGCAGATGCTGGATCAAAATAAACTTCAGGGCTATCACAATGACCAAGTTCAAAGATTTCCTCTTCCCGTAGATTTCGCCCTTACTAGATGCTTAAGTTCAAAGATTCACTGGATGTACCAACTCTTTAACAGGGAAGGGGAAATATAAAAATAAATAAAATAGTGGTCTACAATATTATCCACATTTTCTAAAAAGAACAATGAGTTTTCTAGTTTTACAAAAACTACGTGAATACTACATAGTGATGATGAAGGGACAATTTTATTTCAACAAGACATATACTACAGGATCTAACTCACATGAGAAAAAATGAGAGGGGAAAAGTGAGAGAAAGAGCGAGAAATTCAGAATTATATTGACACAAAGGTGAAAAAAGAATGAATATTTTTGAAGCTGAAGGTTCCTGAAAAATATGTTTGGTTACTGGCCTACCTATGACAATTATGCTGGTCTCCTATTAGAGATCATTTTAAACAGAGTTACTAATTTCTTTTTATGCATTGAATTTACCCATAGGTAAAATAATGTTGCTATAAATTTTATGATTTCTATTAATTTAACCACTGAATGAATTAAAACCATGGAGTATATGTATTATGGAACTTAAAAATGCATTATATTACCAGAAATATAGGAGCTGATCAGAGACATTCTACAAGATTTAATGTTTACATGAAGTTTGTTTCCTTAATCATCTTCTTTCCATATCTTTCCTAACAGTTCTATGGAAATTTACCCACTCCCTTTCTACTAATGTTCATCTTAATATACCAGTAATTATGCAGAAAAAAAGCAAAACAAAATAAAATGAAACAGTTCTCATGAAATCAGAAAAGAAAAAACCCAAACAGAATTGTTTAATTCCATCCTTCCAGGCAATAGGTGACTATTTATCTTACGTCTATGCCATTAAGAATCCACTCAAGTGGTTCTTCCCTGAACAAAGACGTTTCTATTTCAAGACACTAGGAATTGATATCTACCAATAAACATATAAATGTTAATGGCTAATAATTTTAATATGACCATGCTCGTCTTGAGGGGAGGGAAAGAAAAGTTTAATTGGTGGAGCCTCACATCAGGCTCCTTGCTCAGCAGGGAGCCTTCTTCT